GGTGATTTTCTTTTGGGGTCTATTGTGTTTGGGGTTTGTTGGACTTCCTGAATGGATATATTCTCATCTTTCATCATATCAGGGAAGTTCTCTTCCAACAGATCTTCAGCAATTTTCTCAGTGGTTTTATTTTTCTTTTCCTGTTCTGGAATTCTGATTACATGTAGGTTATTCCTTTTGATGGTATCCCACATGAACCTTAGGCTTTCTTCATTTTGTTTCAACCTTTTTTTCTGATTTATCCCTTTCCAAAAAGTGTTCAGGTATTTGCCTTCAATCTCTCCAATTCTGTCTTCCATTGATTTAATTCTGCACCTTTGCCCATTCAATGTCTTATATATTTCTGAAAACTCAGCATTAATCTTCTGGATTTCTGTGTGTAGATTTTGTATCATTTCTAATTTTTCATTTATTTTGTCATTTTGTTCTTGTATTTTCTTTCAAAACTGTTGTAGGGTTTTCTCTGTGTTTTTCTCATTTTTGTCAGTGTTTTCCTTGATCTGTCTCTCAATTCGTTGAAGATACCTAAATATGATTCTTTTGAATTCCTTATCAGGGAGTTCCAATGCTACATCTTCCTCAGGGATGTGTTTCAGATCTGTATCCTGGTCACTTTTTTCTCCTGCTTTATCTTGCTTCTTTGCATGGACTGTGATGCTCTGTCATCTCTGAGGCATTGTGATGTTTTTGTGTTTATATTTAATTGGTGATTGTATGTTGAAGTGACTTTCCCATGATTTTCATTTTCTTTGTTTTGCTTGTTTGTTATCTACGCAAGCAGGGTACTATGCTCCTCTTTTTGCTAGTTGACAGCACTTATACACTCACTACCTGTCTCCTTTCTCGTTGTCAACCTCTCGCAGGTCCCTGTCGACCTTGGCAAACAGAGCCTATTCTTAGGTCCCTGGAATCCGAATGAGAATGCTATCACTTTAAAATCCAAAATGATTGCCACTTGTAAATATTCAAAATGGCTGTACCCTAGGTCACTTTATGCAAAATGGCTGCCACTTATAAACATTCAGAATGGCTGTTCCCTCAGTCACTTTAAATAACCAAAATGGCCACCACTTGTGAACATTCATAATACCTGTGCCCTTGGTCACTTTAAATATCCAAAATAGCCACTGCTTGTAAACATTCAAAATCGCTACACCCTCAGTCACTTTAAATATCCAAAATGGCTGCCACGTGTAAACAATCAAAATGACTGTGCCCTCCGGACAGTGGAAAGTCAACAGCTCAGGTTGTCTCCCTCCTTACTGTTTCCCTTCCTAGTCATAGGTCACCAGTGCAGTTGTCCCTGCAGCCCTTGGTGACCAGGGTTGATCTTTAAGTCAATTATCAGGTCCCATCACCACTTGGAAATATTCAGGCTGTTGGTCCCACCAGAGTAACTGACAGTCTGCAGCTCCCACCATCTCTGTACTCACTGTTTTCATACAGGTTTTTCCACTAGTTGGTGCTTAATCCACTTCTGTATAGTTCCTTTCAAAGCTCAGGGCTCCAGGATTATCTTCTGTATCTCTGTCAATTGGTTTTTCTTTTCTTTGTTGAAGAGGGTCTGTGTCGCTTATCTGCTTATTCCTCCGTCTTACTGGAAGTCTATCACTGCAGTGAGCATTCTTGTACAAGTCTTTCATTTCTCTT